GGACCCTCCAGCATTTGTTCTAGAACTGAAGAAGCTTCTCGGATCGGGTGCAAAGAAGTTTTTAAAGCTCTCAAGAGTACCGTGAGGTGGAAAACTGAGGACATACAAAGACTTTGAAAGATTTCCCAACTCCAAGATTAAGAATGCAATTAACACTGTGAAGAAGATGGTTTCAAATGGTAACAGGAAAGCACTGCTGGGATTTGAACCCAGGATCTCCTGTTTACTAGACAGGCGCTTTGACCAGCTGAGCCACAGCGCCTCCTGCTGTCAGGTAAACCGGTAATACCTGGTATTACCTGGTACTGCAGAAGGAGACGAGTTAAATTTTTGGGCACTATGAATGTTAGCATTCAGAAAATATTGCTTGAAAATTAATGCGGATTCTTAGCTTACCTCCTGGTTTCTCACCAAACCCTTTAAATACTGTGAGAACCATGTAACTTGATTCTTATTTGTGTAATTATTAAAATAAGTAACTGTGACCCTCGTGTTTTACCTTCTTACAGGCTGTTTCTTTTTGTTAAGGTCAAAAGATTAAAGCATCTTTCTGATAAACTCTTAATTTAAAGCCAAACAGAGATGACAAAGCTTTTTATTCTCTCGCTTTACATTTGCAGGATAATAAATAACATCCAGGGTCAAATTTCAGTGAATAAATCTTAATTTTGGGGACTTTGCTAAACATGACAGTTTGTTCAGGTTGCAGATTCTCATCGCTGCACACAAACACGTTTTTAAAATGTTCCTTTTTACACTTAGAGCCTAGCATGAAGCTTCTCAAGATCCTCGGCGGCAGACAGCCGTATCCTGCTCTCAGCCCGACCAGGACCGCTCTCGCGTCGCTTTTAAACCAGGTGTCCGTTTTACTCGAAGCACTCCAGGATTGGCTCATGCCCCGTTTCCTTGAGGAAGCGCAGCAGGTCGTCCGGTCTGAGCCCCATGGTGGCAGCGTTGGTCATCGGGTGGAAGTAGACCATCTCGTGGCCTCCTTCCACCAGGTCCCGGTCCAAGACGAACTTCACGCTGCGATCCTGATCGAAGAGCAGAGCAAGCGCCGTCGCACAGCCCTGACCCACCTGAAGGAGAGGAGAGGAGGAGTCTAAAGCTGTGACCTGTGAATCCAGCTCAATAATTGGCCCTCCCAGTTTTGATCCTTCCTACCTTCAGCTTTTCCAACATGGCTGCCTCATCTGCGAAGCGCAGATTTCCACTCCCGACACCAAGCTTCTTGGCGAGGTCATTAAGGTTCACCTGCAGATGGAACGAGAGGAAGTGAGGTGTTAGTCTTTAGTTTTTAAGTCAGAGGTCATGTGGAGGAGCTGACCTGGCGGTCATGGCGGGCCGACACCAGCCACAGCCCCTTCTTCTTCTTGTCTTTCAAGAACAGGTTCTTGGTGACGGCGCCATTCACGCCCTGCAGGTGAGGCATCATCTCCTCCACCGTGAACACCTGCAGGAGGAGGAGAGTGGGTGAGAGCGGGCTCTTTGTGGAAGCTTTGTGGAAGCTGTATTACTAACATCAAAGCCTCCTGCAACTCTTCCTGGTTTCCTACATTAATAAAGCTGTCTGACTGTGATGCCATCCATGCCTGCAGGACTAAACCAAACTCTGTGGTCTGGCGCCCTCTGCAGGTCACAGCAGATCCTGCAGCACAAACGTGTCAGAGCAGTTTATGAAAGCTGCAGCAGACAGGAAGTACATAAATATATGCACATAAGTCAGGCATTCAAAGTCATATCTGCTTTTTCACGGCGCGCTCGATTCTGAGCGGAGCTCTAAAGCGCCCGTCCCAACGGATCCCGTTCAAAAACACTGCGCATTTCAGGATAAACAGATTCTGCGCAAACACAGCTGACTGCGCCTAAACTTCATCACGTAATTTTAACGTGAATTCGTGTGCTCGTGAATTCAGCACACACACGGCAAGCAAAGCGACTCTTCTTTACTTCAGCTGACAACTTTGTTACTCCCCCACGTGTCAGTGAAACTGAAAGAGCGAGAAACTGAGGAGGAAACGCGCACCTCCACAACCGTGAGCGCGCATCAGGAGACCCTATCATGGTCACGCGTGGCGCCGAATAAAAGTGCGAGTCTCTCCGATTGTGGAAATGTATCCGAGCATATTTTCACGTATTTATATGATCTAGAGTCAGACGGGGATGTTGAAAATGCCAGAAGCGCTAATGGGATTCGGTGTAGTCGGGCTGTCCGGTTTACCGGCGGGTGCTCCACGCATCTCGTCTGGATGTGTAAAGTCTGCAGATGTTTCTCCAGCTGTGCGCGCAGGTCCTTCGACATCTTCACGTGAGACAGCAGCTCAAACGGACACAGGTGGACCCGGCAGGTAGCCGCTGAGGAGCAGCTCTTCTTCTTCTGCACCTAATTTCCTGCAGCTGGCCGCTCGCTTCCTGTCACAGTGCCACCGTGTGACTGAGGAACAGAGCCAGCTACTCAAACTGAGCACGGGGTGCCCCCTCAGAGTGCAGGTTGTAATGGGGGAAGGATCTGCGTGCAGCTCGAACTCTTTTAGAAAATGAAAATTATAAAACTGTTCGATTTGGGTCAAAGTAGCACCGACGGGTCAGAGAGACAATCACAGCGCCTCCGAGCGTCAACACAATTCCATTTAACCCGAAAATCTGAGTGCTGAGATTAAAATCCTACATGCACACATACGCACACAGACTCACACACAGATGCACACAGTTTCAGAGGTGATGAAGTACAAATACTTTGTTACATGAGTACTTAAGCGGACTTTTCAGTAGCCGTACTTTGTTTTTTACTCCTCACATTTTAAGTTCCGCGTCTCGACTTTATCATCCTTTCAGTTTAAGTCAGACTCGTTATTTCAGCTTTTTGCATAATAAACAACCACATCAGGGATGGATGTGAACGATACAGAGGTATCAGAGGCCAAGGACGTAAGCCCGGCGAGCTCAATCGGTGGAGCATGAGATTCTTAATCTCAAGGGCGTGGGTTTGAGCCCCACGTTGGGCATTGACCTTTATTTACGAAATTTCCCACATGTGGGATTATGAGGAGTTTAAAATAAAAAACATGCAGGGAGCAGGAGCACATGACGTTTCAGAGGGCAGGACAATGAACACGAGACCCTGATGGTCAGAGGTGACCACACATCTGAACTTCCAGCAGCTCTGAGGGGTCCAGCTTTAGTGTTCCTGACTTTGAACCCTGAACGCTTCACCTGTGTCTCCTCCGTTAGCTTCTCCGTCAGCTCCTCCTGCTGTTTCCTGCGTCAGCAGCTGCTGGAGCAGAAGTCCTGATCTCCACATCACTTCCACCAGATGTTTCTTTACACACCGATGAAATATGTGACACACACACTCACGCTGCTCATCCACCCATCAGTGCAAAGTGTGTTTATGTTCACTGTTTCTGCTCGACAGGAGGCGCACGCTTCATCATTCAGCTTACGGTGACGTGTTTCCAAGGTTCATTCATCAACTCACAGTTCAAATCAAACATAAATGTGACCACACGTGAGGAGAAGGAGGACCATGGAGCGGCCCCACCTGAAATCCTCGTCTTTCACCTGAGCTGCAGATCCACGGTTTATGTTTAAATTGACTGAAGGCCTGTAGGAGGGGCCGTGGCTTAGCTGGATAAAGCGTCCCAGCAGCGTCCCCTCTGACGTGGTCGTGTTCTTCCAACTCCAGCCTCTGCATGTCCTCCTTCACACATTCATGAACCTCCTGTGAGGCCGTCCAGGTGTTTAAACTGTCCCACCTGGATGTGAGCATGCTGCTGCACAGCTGCTGCACAGCTTCATGAGCTCTGTTCATTAAGAATGAAAGGCAGTTTGTGTGTTTTGTGTGAGGCGTCATAAGGGGACGCACACTCGGAGGCTCACTGCCTAGAATCACTGCTCAGGTGTGAGCATGACTCTTATTATTACGTATTGATGAGGCTTTTTCTGATGATGTCGACAGGTGTTTGATCCCCTCACTGTTTCCCCCTCTCCCTCCCTCTGTCTCGTCTTCCTTTTCCTGCTCAGTGTTAGTCCACATGTTTGCTCCTGGACTCTAACATCCACCCTACTGAGAGTGTCCTCAGTGTCCTACATTCATCTCAGCTTCCATCAGTTTAACTGTTGATTAAATGGATGCAC